CTTTGCACGCAATTTCAACAACTTTTTTGCCGTTAAACATGTGTTTAGGTGCGATGTGCCTTAGATTTGAGGTACTTTCACCAGTCGATGGAACACTTAGAATGCTTCGGCTTGGCATCAGTCGAAATTTTGTGGTAGTATCCTGCCCAAATCTCCTTACGCATATCCTATGAAGAATTCAAATTTCTTCTGACTGCTAAACCGTAGATCTCTGAGAGTTCTTTCATCAATTTGATTGTAAATTTTTAGTTTTTACTTCAGGAACTTGTTTTCACAACAGTCATTTTTCTCTTCACTACTGTTTTTGCTACAGTTCTTATTTTTTTTTTTTTTTGCGGTTTGGCGTTTTTCTTTTAAATTTTCTTCTTTTGTATGAGAGCTTTTCTTGCCTTATTAGCGCGCTTAAAAATATGTTTTGTCACATGCAAAATACACTTCAACTTTTTAACAATGAAATCTTCACCGTATGGATGATAATAAAGTAGCATTTTAAAAGTCTTGGAGTCTCCGTAGCCGATATAAGAACCGTGCGCGCCGAACGCTCAGGAAAGCGGTCCGAGGTAGTTACGTTCAGGCAGCAAAAAAATGTAGTTAGAGACATCAGATCTTTTTGAAATTTTAACACAATATTTCTACATAATATATACATTCGAAAAATGTAAAAAAAAAAAATTTAATTTTTTTAAAATTGCAGAGTAGAAGGTCCCCTTAAATTATTGATTTGCAGATTAACACAGGTACTAACCGAACCAAACAGACATATAATATTCACATGATTAAATAGTACTTAACGTATTTCTTAATATTCTATGCAATACTATTGTATGTTTATTTTATATTTTTATATCTAAATATTTAAAGAAATCGATTTTAAGTGTTTCATCATTTTGAAATCTTTCTTTCCCCTCGTTGATTACTTGTCTTGTTTTCATAATTATTTAAATATTTCCCATCTAGGTCCTTTTCTGATTTTTTTTCAGAAGTCTCTCCTTCATTTTTTCAGTTTCGTTCTTAATTACGTACCCATTAAAACCGTCGTGGTAAAGCCGGTACAATACCAAATCTATTGATGTGGCAGCATCCTCAACGGATGAGTGGACTCCCGACAGTGATCCCATTCGTACGATAGTTATCGTACACGTCACATAATTTGAAGCCTTGTACGATCCAAAATCCAACTTGTACGATCATTTACGATTATTCGATATTCGATATTTAAATATAATTTTCGATATGTCTTGATTTTGTTTTTGTTACGCGATTCGGTTGCAGCGCACTTTAGCGCATTCAGTTATTTATGTTTCGAAAAGTTCGAAAAAGCGGTATTTCAATTTTTACTTTTTTTTTTTGCAGTATTTAAAATTCTAAAATCATCTTAAAATCTGGAAAATCTCTGAAAATCAGATCTGATTTTTCTGGGCGTACGATAATTTTACTGAGAACCCGATAATTTTACGGCACTGTGTCGATCAGACAAGCAAAAGTTTCTGGGATCACTGACTCCCGATTGAATTTCCCGTTTTAAAAAGTATCTGGTCAAATCTTGTATTTTATACTTGTACGGTAATCCGCTTTTATAAGATAATAATAACGAAGTATCAATTACATTGTAATGTATCATTTTTAAAATTCTCAGATCATTCTGCAAACCATGACCGATCAAAATGGTCTCTGCATATATTATTTTCAATAACTCCTTTTGAACCATTTTGAAAGTCATAGTCGCATTCTTGATATTTTCAATCGTCGATTTGGCCAGATTTTTTGGTAAGGTTTCGTCAATTTTCACCCACGAATAAAAAACTATTTTACCGCGGACATCAACCAACGCTACATTTGATAAACGAAACTCGCTGTTATCCAAAGTCACCATACCGCAATCTAACCCGTAAATCCCGTAATTACTTTTTTTATCTCGAGACTGTTTCGTTTTTATAAAATCCTTGTAAAAATCATCGTAATTTGGGAACAACACCATTTGTGGCTTTTTGTCTTTTTACACCCCACTGTATTAATTCTTTTTTTTTGCAGCATTCCCAACATGTTCTACTGCCATAACCAATCAAACCCAAACTGTGGGAGTTACATTGTTCGCTGATATTTATGAGCCCGTGCTGGTGTAATTAAAAATCTCAATAACATCTGTTTCACCGGATTTCATAAATATCATCATCTGGTACCTCTATAGTCCAGGTCTTAGGTCTTTCATCAATTAAAAACAAACTGTCTGTATTCTTTACAAGTTTTAGTTTCTCGTCGTTAAACGAATCTAAAATCTGCAATGTGCATACATTTTTTCCGATTTGATGTTTTTCTTTAGTTTAAATGTTCCCAATTACTACCATCAAATGACTCTCAATATGTTTGCTTGATATTATTGATTTTGTATCTATTGGCATGCTAATTGTTGATATATTATCATGCTCATCTCTAGTATTTAAAAATGGTTTTGTTTCAAATATTGTTTCCATTCGTCTGATGAAGTAGTTTGACCTACATCTATCTAACGATAGTGTATCCATTGGCATTCTGAAGGTTGATATAATATCGTGCTCATCTCTTGTATTCGAAAATGGTAATAGATATATTATCATTCTGTTCTTTCGTATTTGAATTTGCTTTTGCCCTGAACATTGTT